CCTAAAGGCACTCAAAATGAATTCAAGAGATTCTCAAATTTTCCCAAAAATAAATTGAATTTGTAGCCGGAACCTCCATGTAGGGTTCCGGCATTGTTCCGTAGTTTGGTATTATACTGCAACTATTTTACTTTTGATTAATATTTCAAGAAAGCTGAACCCTAACTTCCCAACAAAGTTTATTAGTAAATCTCCAAAGAGCATCTAACTAATCCAAACAAACAAGATGTATACAAAAGACAGGAGAAATGAGCGGTGTGTCATTACAGGGGAAAGCAGAGGTGAGAGAAAGAATTGGAAAGGTTAAAATAAATCCATAATGTTGCTCCTATCACAGCTACAATTCCAAGAGTATATGTGCCATTTCCTAATATTACCAGCAATTAGCTGGTTACAATAACAGGTTATAAAACATAATGTCGTATGGTTTTTTGAAGCTAAATTTGGGGTGGGGTGACCTCTTACTGGTCATCCCCACACCCCTACTGTTCTTAGTTCTTAGCCGCTTCCTACCTCCTCGCCCGGATCTTCCCATGCGAGGAAGTTTCGGGGAAGAGGTACCGGCAGGCGGGGAACTGCCAGATACCTGCTTAACGGCTAGAACCGTCCCCGAAGCCCTACGAAAAGTCCAGCAGGAGTGCGTCGGGGTGCACCAGCATTGCCCCGAACCTTTATCTGAGATGCTCTCTCAGACAATGGGTACTCCGGCGGGTGAGGCACCTTCTACATGGGAAGTAGAAATTTCCGGCGTGGTGGGCCATAACCCGATAGTGGGTATGGCCCGTGACGTAGAGGCCACAGGTACCGTTAAAAACGGCTGGCGCGATTTGAAATAGGGGGTCACACCAGCTAGAAATTATGCTCGCTGAGACACTCATACTAGCGCGAGCGAGGAATTCCAATACTGTGGCTAGACGATAGAATACGGCTTAGCGCCGAATTTCAGTAAGATTTTGGGGCATTACTGATAGCTGAGTCGTCCTATCTTCCGTGTCATCTGATTCATCTGTCGCCTCATCGCGGAGGTTAATAGCTAAGTAGAAAAATAACTGTGCTGCGTTCATTGCTGGCCTTCCAAAATTTCGTGCTTATGTAATATCTGCCGTTATCAAAAAAAAAGATTTAAACTATCAACCTGTCCTTTAGGAAACTCGTGTGAGACCCCATAAGCTTCTGAAAAAAAA